CAAACACTCACGTTGCATCACACATTTAACCGACCTTTTATAAAATGACATGGACATTTGAGTTTGGGACATAATTTAAATAAATAGTGATGCATCATCGGGTATTATAGTATTGCATAGTTCGATAATTTGTTACTATAGTCCGATGATCGCATGCGCAGTGCGCAGTGCATGGAGCGGTGGCCGGCGGCCGGTGCACGGTGGGGTCGAGTGCCGCCATGCGTGCTTCCGCCATCGCCACTTGCCACGCACCTCCACACACCTAGCAAGGAGATTTTACAATTTAAGCGAAGATGACACCAAACGTTGAAACTTAAAACTACAAACTCGGCAACAAATACTTTTGTATACGTTGAGGTACAATTTCCATGTCCAATAACAATACTATTAGGCTGACATTTTGTAGCTCATAACAGTTGTGAGAAGAAAGTAAAGATACGACGTTTAAGTGTCCATTATCTGGTAATAAGGCGCTTAATGTAATAATGGCGGTGCAGGAGATGACGAATCAGATCGGAAACTATCACCAGCTCGTAATCGCCGTAATTCGACAGATAGCCATCTCTCGATGAGACCGCGTCCGCCTTTCCCCGCGGTAACCGTCACGTCGACGTCGTTTATACAATAAATTGTCCTTGAAATTATTGGAAACTACAAAGTACTTATATGTAAGTGAAAATGTATCTCACCAACTGTTTTTTTGTATATTTCTGTATCACCCACAGGGCAAACAGCCAACAGTATGACTGCACCGTTGGCGCGGTGGTTGGGCAACTGGCTGCCGCGCAACGTGTCGCGGGTTCGATTACCGCACGGAACGACTCTTTGTGTGATCCACAGATTGTTGTTCCGGGTCTGGGTGTCATGTGTATGTGATATTGTATGTTTGTAAACGCACCCACGACACAGGTGAAAATCCTAGTGTGGGGCAACGTTTTTTAAAACAAAAATAAAAGTTTGCCGATGTTACAACATCCATCATACATCTTAGGACATTCATTTCAGCCACAAGACGTTAGCAATTGCCAGGATCTGCAACTTGTGTATGTTGACTTCTATGGTATCTATCTATATTCTATCAATTGTCCACCTGAGCTTACTTAAATAGTAATCAACTGTTATTACCATTCAGTCATAATACAATTTGAGTGCACTGTCACTGGGCAGGCAATGCAGGCATGCATGAGCGTGCTCACAGTTTGATAATAATTTAATGAAAGTTTTAAGTACCAATATAAGTACTTATAGCATGATCCAATAAGAGAAACAAGTACAAAATAAAACGCAAACACTTTCTTTCTTGAGTAAACAATAAGTAGGTATTAGTAGATTTCTATCAATCAAAATTTATTGGCCTGCCTCGTTGGCCGAGTGGACGCAAGTGCGACTGCTGGGCAAGGGGTCTCGGGTTCGATTCCCGGTTCGGGCAAAGTATTACTGGGTTTTAAAAAAATCTTAGTAGTAGCACGGAGTCTGGAATTGTGCCCGGTATATGGCAATAGGCTCACCCCCTATTACATGGGAGTCATAACATAAATAGTGAAAAGTGGGTGTTACATTGTATAGTAGCATAATGTACACCTCTGCCTACCCCTTCGGGATAAAAGGCGTGATGTTATGTCAAGATTTATTGGATAATCGTCTGTATCCTGTTGGCCACAACAAATGTCCACAATTTCTACTTCTGCACAACTACTTACGTGAACATTCGAAATAGAATTAATTTATGTATGTAGGTACTTTTAAAAAGAAAAAAATGTATTTCAAGATGTTCCTGCAGTGCCGAAGTCCTCTCTTAACGGTACGATACGGTGACGATTACAAATACGCGCTATAATAACAATAAACATTATATATATATTAAATACTATATATTTTATAGAGGCTTCAATACTTTAATGTAATCATCAATGGTTAATCTGTGTGGCGGGGGGTGGTGGCGGGGCCGACCCACATCAGTGAGTACAAACCCGCGCCGGGTAGCTTCGACCCCGCCGGAAGTGGCGAGGGGGATTTATTGCGCGGCCACCTTCCGGTGCTCCAGTTGTCTCTGCCGCGTGCGCACCTGCCATGAAAACGTTTCATTAGCTTACTGCCCGCTGGTACTTTATCTATGATCGTTTTGTTTCACTATTTTGTTTGGACAGCGCCATCGTGGGAATTAACATGTTAGCCGCCGCTACACATTTTTTGTTTATTGTTTCTAAAATTGTAATGTCGTTGTCCTGTGGTGCTGGCTCTATGTGAAATGAATTGTTAGACATTATGGAGTAGTTAGTATAAATTTTATTGTACTGACTACCGTACAGGGCGGCTCTCGTGGCGGGTGGGTGAGGGCGAGCCGAGTGCTGAGCCTGCGCCTGCCGCCACTGTCGCCGCCATAGCGCTGTCGATCAAGTCCCGCGGTGAGTCAGCAGGACTGTGAGGACTGCCAGCACTATACGTCGTAGTTAGCCGTAGTGGTAGTACACATAGTGCATTGGTATCGTGGTGCGAACCAAGCAACAACGTAATGTATGACTGCACACTCACTTAGTTTAATTACAGGTTCACGCACGTTGAAGTATTTCGTTTATTATTGGTGTACACAAATTAGATTTCACTATCAGCAACTATAAATACAGTAATGGATAAATATTCCATTCTAATCATGAAGCAAATCTGTATTTGCTACATGGTTCTAACAATGGAAAATACTACGGAGCGTTGCGTATTCCCGCACATCGTAAACCGCTTACCGCATTGTTGGACAGACCATAACCTTCCTCAACAGCGGGACACGTATCTAATTGATTACACCCTGTATCTGGTCCGTGGTTACATCGGATTATTTACTAACAAGGCTTGTTTGGCCACACCTTGAGATGTGTGGCCAAACAATATAATTCCATAGCTACGCAAGTGAAGTTAAATAGGTGTCATCACGATTTAATTGTGTGTGTGAAGCTGATATCTTCATCTATTAGTACTGCACTGGCAGCCACCATGCCCACCATGGCATGGTGCGTCTGTGCTAAACTACCTAGGTCGGTCGTTGACCTTTGTCACATCGTACTGTTCACGCTCATAAAACTGTAATTACAAATGCATGTCTTACATATGTTTAGAGATATTTGTACGCAGTACTTATAATTACTGAGTTATTACCTAGATGCCAATGCATGACATGCTGTGGAGTTGTGTCTACGGGGAACACTGGGATGATGTTAGTCAACAGTTTGTTCCCGAAAAGCCTTCTAAAGGTTTGTATCGTCAATAAAAAGCAAGTCTGCATCAAAAAGTTGCACTTACAAAACCAAAACTTTTTAATAACATTGCAGTCCCATTATCTTCTGTATCGCACGTGTAATTGTTTCAATTAATTTAATGAAATGTTAAATTAAATGAATATGTCTCGTTAGTCCGGCTCTCGAGTCACTTTCACTGTCCGGTCGTCACTGTGTGCCGCGTCTGTCTGCGTGTTGTTATTCGTAATGATATTGTGCGGCGGATGTGTCCGAGGTGCTGGTGTCGAGATGTGGTTTATGGGCAGAGTGCGTGCCACAGGTTACATTCGTGATAGGTCGCATATAAAACATAATAACTGGGGAAATTATCGTGATCTGCGAAAGTAAGAACCCACGTAGTGATACACTGATTTCTGTGTAAAGAGATTGTTCTGAAGATTTTTTTGCCAAAACCATTACGTTTCTTGTAATTTACATCTCGAAAGAAAGATACCCATCTTTAGGTAATCATATTTCTGTTACGAGAAAAGTAATTGGTCTCTTATGCTTAGTAAATGTCTAGTGTAGCCTGAATGGGCTAGGGAAGACGTGTGGCGTTGTGCATCGTGTTGCGCGATACAGTACAGGTGAGTCACGGCTCGTGTCTCGGTCCTCCAGCACGATGAGTGCTCCGCTCGCCACGCTCCGCCGCGCGGCGCCTCCACACATTACACTTTTTATACCATCCGCACTTTTTTCTTGTACAACACGCCTACACGGTGTCTAATGAACTTGTTGAATGCGATACTTACGTGACACATATGTAAGGAAGTTACGAAACGAACTGAAACATCCTTGCTAACACTGACTTGGATGTAAATCAAGTATTTAATGTAAGTACCTATACCAATCACATGCTTCGCTGCGCACAAAATTCGACGTTTCACTTGCACAATATACTCATTTTGTAAGAATAATTTACATACAATACTTGCTAAGTTTTGAGACAACTCATCAAGGGGTTACTTAGACATTCACTTGATGACTGGCGTCTAATCATCATCGTATTCGAAGAGTTACATAGGTACGGGTTTTACGTTATTCGTTTCTCGACTAGACCTTGTCGTCCAGTCACTGATATTGAATATCAGTTTAACGTATGACCAATATTATAATACAAAACTAGGCCACGTTACATTCGATACGTAAAAAAAAACTTTAGTAGGTATACTCCTACCGAATTGACTCTAGAAGAACCAAAGCATATGGGCCCAAGTAAATGTTCCAAATCCCCTACATAAACTTGCGGAAACCGACGTCTAACGGTGAAACGATTTGCATATCTATTTGTTTAAGTCAATAAGTAATCTAAGTATAAGGTGGTAAGCGTTGAGTGGTGAAGGAGGAAGTGACCTCCCTCGCCCTCCTCCCTCTGTCCTGGATAGATAAGTGGACGAGGCACCGCGACCTGGATCCGATAGATTCATCGATACACCAACAGCACTGACACTGTCTAAATACTTCAGTGACCTTACATACCTGCTGACCCACATACACGTCATTAATCATACGCTTCTATCTATATTTAGGTAATCTATTGAACTGAAATGTCCTCACTTTACCCAGCACTAAACTTTATTTTGTTTACTGAGTGTTAATAACGAACGTGTGTTCATTTGTTTGTGCAGCGCACACAGAGAGGCTCGGAGGTAATCCAGTACCTACTAGCATGTAGCGGCGTCCAAGCTTCATTCTGTGAGACTGTGTCCTTACGACATTGATGTTGTGTTGCAGCTATCCAGGACAGTCGCTGCTACCTGATGAATGGCGGTGCTGTCGAGAGCTTCTTCATCAGCGAGGATACACCTGTCGGCAGCATCATTGGTAAATATCATTGCGATCTCTATAGTCGTCGTAAACGAGAGATTTCACATATAATAAATTTGTGATTATGAAGACATTCAGACACAATGTAAATTGTTTATTGAATAAATGAAATGACTATTTTGAGTTGGTTAACAACCAGCAGTGCGGGGCTCAACCAGAAATAAAATGTTTCAGGTACACTCAGTGTGAATGGCGACCCGGCCGAGGAGCAGGGCGATATATCGCTGCGGCTGCAGGAGAAGGGCGCGGCCGTGGGCATCGCGCCCGGCACCAAGAACCTCACGCTGCTGCGCGCGCTCGACCGCGAGGAGAAGCGGGGGCCCTCCAACGTGTACGTCAACGTGCGCTGCGATAGGAGACGAACCACTGACCCCGTTAGTTATGTTCAATTGCTCTGTTATACAAACCTACTTTGTAATTGAGTAGTTATGCTATCATGTCGCGGAAGACAGAGCATTCTGGTCATCAGAATAATCTCTGGACGTGCTCCATGTAACTTTAGTTCCTTGGAATTATGCCTTTTAAAGAAGTGCATCTAAATCTAAACGCAGTGCTTGCAGATTAAGCACTTGAATTTGATTGGTTGAAGTGACCCTACTACGAGGCCAATAGCATCCGTAGTTTTTCCTATGTGATTATTTCGGCGGTATAGATACGAATATGTATTGATTTGTTTGGTTTGATTTATAAGCACATACGAAGTGCTGAGCTCATTTGGTGCAGTTCCAACACACGTTGTCGGTTCCAGAGCTTCATCATCCCGGTGTCGGTGCGCGTGTGGGACGTGAACGACAACGCGCCGCAGTGGGCGGGCGCGCCGTACCGCGTGCGGCTGTCGGAGCTGACGGCGCCCGGCACGCGCGTGGCCGTGGGCGCGCGCGCGCTCGACGCCGACCAGCCCGGCCCGCACGCCACCATACACTACTCCGTGCTGCCCGGGCCCAACCATGTACGCTTTACCTTTCATTACCCTTCTCTATTCCAGAAATCAAATTAATTCCAAGAAGTCCATAGCAAGTCTTATTATCCCTAGAAAAATTAGTAAGGATGGATGAGGATTTTTACAGCAGTGCTGCAGACAAGAGGAAAATGCAATGTTCTAAATAAGAAACTCGTTGCACAAATCACTTTAATCACTTCTGCAGGAGTACCTGGGATTCTCCAACGAGTTGGACAGCGTGTTGGTGGTGAAGAAACCCCTGGACTATGAGACTCTGAGTAACTTCACGGTCACGCTGCGTGCTCAGGACGCTGGCACTCCCCCGCTACATAACGATACAGTTCTGCAAGTACAAGTACTGGATGCTGATGACCAAAACCCTAAGTTCACACATGACCACTACACTGCTACTCTACCTGAAGATGCAAAAGAGGTCAGTTTTAATCGAACATTAATGGACTAGTCACAATCACAAAGTCACAACTATGGCTAACGAAATAATGATTTTCTTTCTCGTGTTTCAGGGTGCGATACTAGTGACATCACCAGGACCAATATCAGCCGCAGACCAAGACGTGGGAATCAATGCACCGCTGCAGTACTCCGCCACCGGCGATAATGGACGACTGCTGGTGGTGGACAAAGATACAGGACAGATCACTGCCACTAAGCAACTCATCGATGAGCTAAGCCAACCTATAACTATTGTTATTAAGGTACCTAATTTCGGTTAATAAAGTTTTTTTTTATTGTTTAAATTGCGACGTTTGTAATTAGATAATTGTTGTGGGATGGTATTTGTGCAGGCGACGCAAGTAGATAACTCAGACCGCTACGCGCTGGCGACGCTGAGCGTGAGCCGCGACGTCGCGCGTGGCGCCGGCGTTCGGTTCCGGCGGCGGCAGTACGGCGCCGCCGTCAGCGAGGCCGCGCCGCCCGGACACACGCTGCTCACTCTGACCACCGCGCCGCCCGGACACGTACGTACACACTGCATACATATCTAGTTCGCACTGAGTTCTAGATCTTCACATGTTACAAATTACAATCAATAATTTCAGAATAACCTCCAGTTCTACGTGTCGGACCGCTCGTTCCTCGATAAGTTCGCCATCAATAGCGCAGGCGAGGTGGTGCTACGCCGCCCACTCGACTATGAGACTGCAGACTCTTATCATTATCAAGTCATGGTGACCGATGGTGTCTCGGTAAGAAATCCACATCAGATCATTTTTATTCGAACTTGAAAGTTAAGAGAAAGGAGTCAAAGTCAAAATCATTTATTTCAATTACCAGAAAGACATCTTTCAAAAGAATATTTATTTTCCTTTTGTTTCAGAATGACACAGCATCAATAAACATAACAGTATTAAACGTGAATGAGTGGGAGCCGAGGTTCCGATACCCGCAGTACGAGTTCCGAGTGGAGGAGGATCCGCAGGACGACGTCGAGTTGCTGCCGGTCGGGAAACTCGACGTGTTCGACGGAGACAAGCGGGACACTGTCACTCTGTCACTGCGCGGCTCCGGCGCTGAGTGAGTACCTGGCAGCGAGTGTACTGCAGCCTGTATGTATAGTGTATAGTACAGTGCGGCCCGTGTGTGCAGCGCGCTGTACGTGGACGGCGCGGGCGCGATGTTCGTGCGCGGCGCGGCGCTGCGCTCGCTCAACTCCTCCGTGTTGCACGTCGTCGCCACCGCCGTCGACTCGGGGGCACCGCCCCGACAGGTCAGTACAGGCATTTGTATTTTAAATCTGAAGTTATCTTCTTATACGTTTGGGTGTTCCACCTCGTATTTGTTTACAGACATCGGTGCCGGTGACGGTACACCTGAGCGAGCGCTTGCTGCAGGCGAGCGGTGACGCCGGCAGTGTGTCCCGGGGCGGGGCGGGGCCCGTCATGGCGGTGTTCGCCTGCGCACTGGCCGCCCTGGCCCTGCTCGTGTGTGCACTGCTCGGGTACATTTACAGAGTGTGAGTACTGCTGAGGCTACACTATTAAGTAAGTTTGTTATCGACAACCGACAGAATTAATTTAATTTTGGTTGTATTGTAGGCGTCGTCGGTCAAAGCGCAGTGCGGGTGGCTCGGGCCCTGGTTACGTGACGCACGAAAAGCCACTAGCAGATCCTATCACCCCTACATCACACCCAACCAGTGCTACCAGTAACACCCACGTGAGTGGGACTGCTGGGGCTTCGGGGCCAGCAGCGACGTTGCCCACCAGTGGCAGTACCGGGGCGCTGCGGCCCGCGGGGTCGTCCGGCTCACTACTGAGTGTGAGTGCGGGGGCCAGTACTATACTCGCCAACTCTACCTCCAGCCTGGACCTGCAACAAGACCAACAGACTGTTACACGTGGAGCGCAGCCGAATAGTAAGTTTAGATGCGAAATAAAGTGTCTGCAGACTGCAAGGGTAATTCAAGTAAGTGCTTTGACTGATATCGGTATATTCCCCTTAGGTGTATCGTCGGGGCGCCAGTCGGGGCGCGGGGGCCGGTCCCGCGTTGGTCCGACGACGGCCCACATGAGCGACCACCTGTGCGCGGGCGGCGGGCGGTCGGGCGTGGCGTGGCCGGCCGCCACCATCCCGGCGCGGGTCAAGAAGCTCAGCTGGGACGACGCCGCGCACACACACGTACGTACCGTGCAGCTCGCGACACTCTCTCCTCTCAGTTCAGCTCTTACTCGACGGTGCTACGATTGTGGTGGTCTCCATCCACCCATTCGCAGTGGCAAGAAGTTTTCTCATGAGATGTCGTTTCTTACAAACTCCCAGCTCGCGACACTCTCTCCTCTCAGTTCAGCTGCGTGGCGTGGCCGGCCGCCACCATCCCGGCGCGGGTCAAGAAGCTCAGCTGGGACGACGCCGCGCACACACACGTACGTACCGTGCAGCTCGCGACACTCTCTCCTCTCAGTTCAGCTGCGTGGCGTGGCCGGCCGCCACCATCCCGGCGCGGGTCAAGAAGCTCAGCTGGGACGACGCCGCGCACACACACGTACGTACCGTGCAGCTCGCGACACTCTCTCCTCTCAGTTCAGCTGCGTGGCGTGGCCGGCCGCCACCATCCCGGCGCGGGTCAAGAAGCTCAGCTGGGACGACGCCGCGCACACACACGTACGTACCGTGCAGCTCGCGACACTCTCTCCTCTCAGTTCAGCTGCGTGGCGTGGCCGGCCGCCACCATCCCGGCGCGGGTCAAGAAGCTCAGCTGGGACGACGCCGCGCACACACACGTACGTACCGTGCAGCTCGCGACACTCTCTCCTCTCAGTTCAGCTGCGTGGCGTGGCCGGCCGCCACCATCCCGGCGCGGGTCAAGAAGCTCAGCTGGGACGACGCCGCGCACACACACGTACGTACCGTGCAGCTCGCGACACTCTCTCCTCTCAGTTCAGCTGCGTGGCGTGGCCGGCCGCCACCATCCCGGCGCGGGTCAAGAAGCTCAGCTGGGACGACGCCGCGCACACACACGTACGTACCGTGCAGCTCGCGACACTCTCTCCTCTCAGTTCAGCTCTTACTCGACGGTGCTACGATTGTGGTGGTCTCCATCCACCCATTCGCAGTGGCAAGAAGTTTTCTCATGAGATGTCGTTTCTTACAAACTCCTATCCTTTCTCAATTCTAATGTCTTCGGTGAACTCCAGATATGTTAATTTTCAACTCCACGTGTACTAACCCCTTCTAAAGCTGCAGGTAGGACAGTAAAATGTGTATAATAGAGATACATTTCCAGGACAGAGGGGAAGAGCTGACGGACGCGACCAACCCCGCGGTGGCCGACCACATGAACCTCACCGTCTACTTCTGACCGCCGCGCCGCACGACGCGACATCGGATCACGATGCAGAGACCAAGGCACGCTCGGAGATGACTAATACCAAGCGCGCTCAAGACTCCTGTAAATATAATAAAGGAGACAACGCATTCAGCGATAGTAGTACATCGGAGAAAAAAGTTTTACATGACCGGTATGCAGAAAGTGAAAATAACTTTAGTAACGCAATGACATCGTCGAACATCGCAAATGTAAATAATGTTCCTCTACCAGGATCGACGACCAAAAATTATTACCAAGGAAGTCCTGCTAAAACTGATCCCCTCACAGCCGCTCTCAACACTGTCGGGGTGCCAGTGTACAGCAACCCGGTAGCTGACAGTTATTTATTCACCAGCAACCATGACCCGGCACACTACTACATCCCTGGTTTAAGTGAACCCTCTTCACCTTCCAACTATCCGACCATGCTCATGCCACATCCTGGACATCCCAGTCATGCTATCGTTTTTGAAAATGAATCGAGGCCACCGAGAAACCGTCCGATTCCAACTCACATTTTAGTCACAGCTAGTAACAATAAACGTACGAAGCACCTGAAGCCCCCATCTAATAGCAAACTTAAAACTAAACCAGTAACAATACTTACTCCTGTTACGTTTCCTGTACAATCTTCAAGTCAGTCTGCTTTATTCCATCCAAGTTCTCCCTATGCTGCACCGATGCCAGCTAGTCACGTGCGACACCCAGCAGCGCAAACAAAGCAAAACGAGCCGATATCCACCATAACTGGTGCTCAGTACAGTACCCCCCCGTCTGCTCCGATGCTGCTGGAGGAGGTCCCCGCTCCCCCGAGTGCGCGCAGTGCCCCCCCGGCGTACGCCAGCATAGACCCCAAGAAGCTGCGCGCCATGCACGTCCGGCCCGCCGTGTTCTCGCGCGGCGCCGTGCCCGGCCTGCGACAGTACCAATTGTTGTGACAGCCCTCGGGCCGGGGAGCCGCGCGTGACAATCTGGTCAAATAAAAATGTTAGCCAAATATGTTAAACTTTATTACTTAGGTAGGTCCTTTTATATTATATTACATTATCATGACTTTTGCGATAGACGACGAAAGCTTTATTATTATTGCAGTGAAACCACTTTAGATTTACAATGAGGACAAGTTTATTGATTGTTTGATGTAAGTATTAGGATACTGTAAAACTAAAGGATAAGCTATAGGCTGTGGGTGGAGTACCATTGACCAAATAAATACATGTACCTGCGCGGTACGTGTTGTCGTGTAGTAGTATCAAAATGAGAACCATGTGTTTAAGTGTTGAGCGATGTTTGTTAAATAATACTTTGTACTCAATTCCTTTGTATAGTAATCAAATCAGTTAAACTGATCAATAACATTATTAATTATAAACTTACGAACTGTAATAAATTGTAAATACTAAAATATATAAGTTAAGTAGTTTTATACAAAAACAAAATGTTTGCTTTCTAGCAAACTGATTAGTTGTCCGATAGAAATTATCAAATGACTGCTTCCTTCTGTTTGTAAAATGATGAATGCAGATTATGTGTTACAATATTTATTATTAAAGTTATTGTGTAGTTTCAATTTATAAATAGTACCTTGATGTACGAATTGTTATTATAAAGTTTTGTTTAATTTACTTGTTTCATTTACGCAATGACTCTTCTTTATTCAAGCAGTTATTTGTAACAGCAAGCACATCATCTGCGCTGCGACTGCTGCGAAAGCTGCACAAAGTAGGGAGCACGGAATCAGTTAGTGTATGCAATAACTCTACAATATCTTCTACAGGGATCATTGTTTCCGTTTGAAGTAGCGAATGTAATAATGAATGGATAAGTACCTAAGTAACAACGAAGTTGCAGGAAACATAAACTTTATATTAACGACTTCTCAAAACTTTCATTTTATGGGGAGAAACGGAGAAACCTTGTTGGGCATGACTGTCGAAAAAGAAAGCACTGTGTTATCTGTAAACAAGGTGTAGGTACCTGTCTAAGTATCAAGTGAGCAAATACAGGATCCTCATTACGACTGTAGGTACACCATCCCATTTCTCAATTGACAGTACACACGGCTACACATCGAGCTTTACATAACCAGTATAAACTGAACGTTAAATGTGCGTAGGATCAACTGGTTTTGTATAGATTGATGTACGGCCGAGTGTACGACACACAAGGAAAGTTGCGCAGTAAACTAGGTTCATGTATTGTGATTGTGATGCAAAGGAGCACTGGCCGGTGACGTCTATGTTAGGTGTTAGGTAACATGTTATGTTATGATGTTACCTTGTGGCCTCTTTCTTTGCAACCAGTACCTACGCGAGTACTAAAGTATCTATTTCTATTTTATTAATAAGTACCTTCTTATATAATGTTATTGTTCTAGTAATGCAGGTTGTAACTTTCTCCAAACCTCAAGTATTAGTCTGAGCATTAATCTGATTTGCAATTATATTTGAATTCTACCGACGCTACTTTAACTGTTCTCGGCTTATAAAAGCAAATAAGATTGACAGGTTAATCCCCTCAGATAAATTTTCATGAAGTATCTAGTCAGGGAAATTCTTATGTCCTACTTATTGACAAACACGAAGCCTGGTGTTACTGTAGATCCTGGCTTACAGGAGTTGTAGCGGTTTTGGGAGGGTGTGCCGGGCTTGTCCTAACAAAAGGCCGGGTGGCTAGAAAAAAACTGACATAGATACTAATTAAAAAGTACATACATAGGTCAATTTTTTTATTGCTGAAGCTGAGACGTTTGTATGTCGTTAAAAGTAAAAGAGAACTTAACAGTGAGTCATACTTGGTCAAGATGCATTTACATAATGTTACAGCGAAGCCGGAGGTGACGCTAATGATTCTTTACGATGTCAATGCCAAGTGCAGTAAGTTCACCACGAGCCATTAGCGCCGGTAGTAGCTAGCTAGTACATAATGTACTACAGTACAACACATCCACATGCAACGTCCCCACTCATCTCGTGTCATACGCGGCAATTTCTCTTCGTGTGCGAAACAGTGCGCGGCTCGCAGACACCGGATCGATACCTGCGCAGAGCTTTACCCAGTCTAGCAGTGTGTAGTCTCCATCAACCTCCACTCAGCGACGCACGTACGTCGCCCACGGACAGTAAAAGTGATATTTATATTACTATTAACAGTGCTCATACAAGACATTAAGGAAACAAGGTATGTCACTTTCCAATTCTGGACGTTTCTGCGACATTCTCTTAGTAATTAATAAAACATGCCTAACGAAAGGAAAGTTCACGTGTAGAGTTAGTATTTTTATTTATTTCTTCGTTTGTTTTGTTTTGCATTTAATTGCATTTTCTCACGAGGGTTTTATTTCATGAAGATAGATTCATAGTGTGTTCCATATATATGTATGTATGTATCTAGAAGTATACGCTGCAACCCTGCACCGCCCGGCGCACTATACCAGTCGAATGCCGAATGCAACCCGCATTTAATTTCCAAATCTTTTGCAAGTGTAAGTTAGGAGTAGGCTGTAGGCAGTGATTATTTGCTGAATGACTATTAAGTCAACCGACTTTAAAAAAAGTATATAAAGGAAAATTATTTTTTGATAAAATAGAAGGCCTATTGTTAAGAACATGAGTAGGTATACAACAAATATTACGTGCAAGGTCTTACAATATATACATGTTATCAGTCTGCATGTTTTGCGATTCAAGGCGTCCTAAATAGTATTTTACAAGATTATGCCTTGGATAAATTAAAAATTGTGTGATTTCATGATTTGTGTATGAAAAAGTAGGTATAAAATAGTTATGTGCCCACGACGGCTGCGATACAGGAGAGTATACCTACTAGTCTGAGCACATGACAAAAACAATTACAATTTGCATCCATGGGATCGTTGGTCGTAAGTGCAACTGCTGAGTGCTGGGTACATTCTTAACTCGACTTGTTTCAAGCTACGATAGGGGCTCGTATCTACACGCGCGGCATACGTACCTACGACACCATCACTATTTTACTTAGTAATTACTATAATAGATGAGTGACTACTTTCCTCGTTTTATGACAACAACTCGTTTTACCAGTCACCGGTGATCAATTTATCAAAACCACGTGCTTACTATTGTAAGCCAGGTGACGTCTACGTCGGTGTCTCCTATTATTATGATAGTATGAATATTCCTTATTTTTATACATACCTAAATACCTACTTACTTAAATAGATGCACACTACTGTCCCATGTGGTTGAGCAGGAACTACAGTAGATACTTATCGCATACTACGATCATTGCATACCACTTTAATTTTCTTTAACTTAGATAAGGGCTTAAGATATACTTTCTTAGTGCACAAATGCATTCAATGTATTCTTACTTCTTGTGATAATACAATGCAAGCTTGTGCACTTCATAATTATTCCAATTAAATGAATCGTATCAAGTACATTCGTATCCTGGTCGTGATTGGTTGCAATTGGGAAAGGCCGGCGATCGATGCAATCCTTGTTTACCTGGCGGCGCAGCGCGGAGGCGGCGGCGTCCGGCGCGGCGTGCGGCGCGGCGTGCGGCGGGCGCGGCGCTTTCACCTGCGATGCGATGCGCTTGCGTAATCGATGGCCGCACGTGAACCCGGCCTGACCCCGCACGTAATAGTATTATGGATATCCCGCGCACCACGCTTGTGATGACTAACACTGTTTGGAGAAAATAATCTGGGCCATTAGAGCAAACGGATATTGTACAGGATTCAAGAAAATTTTGTTTTGCCAGCATCGTTTAAAAGAAAAGGTATAGGTATGACTAATTAGCCACAGTATGACATAATGAACACCGGTCGACCAGTCAGCAAGATACAGACTGCAACATAGCAACTTTAAATTAAATTATTTGGGGACATAAACCCAATAGCCAAGGACAAGGGCTGAAGGGAATTCTTTTGTTGAGAAATAAAGGTCTTCCAGCTGATGATGATGTCGACGGTGTGTTCCAGATGTGGCTCCCAGTAGCGGCGGTAGCGCTGCTGTGCCTCGCAGGCCCCGCCCACATGAAGGAGCACAACAGCACAGCACCGGAGCAGCCGCGGTGGTGTAGTGCGGAGCAGACCACCTGCGGACTGTACGAGGACGACGGGCCCTGGATGGCCATGGTGCAGCAGTGGGCGCTCACCGGCTCAGACCATACCGGAAGACAAGGTATACCTGTTACGTAACTCATATCTGCTTGTAGTCAGATTTGTGCAATGAAGAACTCCACTTTAACTTAATACTATGTTTACTCTATACCTAGAAGTAATTAAGTGATGTCTTTATGGATTTGCAGGACGCATAATGGCTCTCCCACCTGCCCAAGGCTACTACGTGACGGACCGCGTGGACAGGCCCTACCTGTCCCCACCCCCACCACCTCCACCGGCCCCAGTGAAGCAGGCCAACCACCCGAGCCACTCCAGCCAGCAGCTGCCCCCTGGTGCCCGTCCTTATGATGAATGGCAACACTCGCCTCCACTGCCACCCAACACTGGCAAGATCGTCAATCGACCACCAAACCCATACAAGGACAAGTTCAAGCCCAGCTACGTAAGTTGTACCAAATTACCTACATTTTCCGCGTAGGAAGTAGGAACACATGCTATGTAAGATGTGATTGTACTAATGAACTACCTCACTCCGCTACAGCCAGCACCTATCCAGAACCAGCCGATTCCTGTGCACAGCCAGGCACTGGACAGAGTTGACGAAAACAAAGTGGCGCCACAGAAGCAAGTCTCCGAAACTGACCTCTACTTACTCGGCGCCATCGAGAAGCTGGTCTACCGAGCTGATCTTTTTGAGAAGCGACTTCGGAAGATGGAGGAGACAGTGCACTCCCTCATTGCAGGACTGGACGCTAAACTGGGTAAGTGCGCTTAGCTATAACTTTATGACCGAGTTACGGTTACGTGTAATGTTGTTCAATAATGTGTTGTAATATCACGAGTAGGTAGTTAGTTATAACACAATGACATACAATGTTAAGAGATTGTATCCTACGTGCTTACAAAATATTATAATTTTGAACTTTCGCCAGCCGTACAAGAGAAAGTCGTGTGTAATATGAATTCCTATCTACAGTAGTATCTGTCTGTAGGTAATAAGGCAGAGCCGTGTCCGAAGAATTTTACTCGCGTGGGTAGTGGCTGCTACCACGTGTCGTCCGAGGTCGCTAACTGGAAGGGAGCTAGCTATGGTTGCCGCCGCCTGAAGGGGAACATGTTGGAGATAGAGAGCGACCAGGAGCGCGACCAGCTCACTTCCGCACTCTTCACCGACAAGAGATACAAAGGTAGGCCAGTGTTGTAACTTGTAAAACATAGCATGTTGTTCTAAAATATAAAATGTTCGTTAACTGTATTCATAATACACATCATTTCTTTATTTTCTGCTGCCAAAGGAGACGTCCCTAACACTAGGGGACCTGGCCACACTAAATACATGCCTCGCATGTGTTTGCTTGTTAAATGTGTCTGGCTGTACAAGCACATCCGAGCCCTGGCTGTCCTCATGACTGGTTCATTCTTCTACAGCTTGATCCGCTTACTCTCTAAACGTATCCCAAACGGCAAGCTCACCGGCAGGCTCGCTAAGATCTCGCTTGGCCTAGCGAAGAGCATGCAACTGTCTTATTCACTCTTCCCGATGTCAGCAAATAAACACAAATCATAATTTAAGACATCGCAGTAATATTCATAATGTACTTAGCATCCAAATTACATCCTACCTTAGTATCTATCAGCACTTTCGAACATTATAACAATATTGGACTATAAGTAGAAATGTCATTTTTGTAAACGTAATTCATAATCATTATAATAGTAATTTAACACGTAACTAAAGTATTCCGTGCCCGTGTATATGAGGGCTGCAAGCTGTGCCATAACCCGTAGTATAGGTACGAGCTGGATGTCGCCTGGTTGTAACGTATTTGTGAGGAAAGGTCATAAGGGACGAGTCGAGGGCTGCCAGGCAGGCATATTTAACAAGCACGCACATTCAGACTAACTGAACATGTATTCATGAGTGGATTTGATGCTTGTAAGTATAACCAAGTCATTTACTAACGTACCCGTTATCCTGAACAGTGACTGAGTCACCCGATTACTATTGAAATGTATTAATATGACAATATTTGTGTGAGTGCAGGCGTAGACTTCTGGACGGGCGGCCTGAACCCCGGCCTGCTGTGGATCTGGTCGCACTCGGCGCGGCCCGTGCTGGCCAACAGTACGGGCGCCGCCGTGCCGGGCGACGGGCGCTGTCTGGCCTGGCTGCACGACCCCGCGCGGGCCGCCTACCTGTACCGGGGGGTGGACTGTGCGCTGCGACACAGATATATATGTGAGAAGGAGGACGATCCAGAAAAGCTGAGCAACGAGGTCGAGAGACTCGCTAAAAACTTGAAGGAAGGAAGGAAACCAAAGATTTTATGGACTGATCACGAGCCGTAGGACGAACTGTATACCACGGGATATTTATACCTACTATATAACTCGTAGCTTTAGGATTTACTACTATTTATTATTTATTTTATATTAAACGACTTTGTATACGAATTTTAAACATTTGGATACAATAAATAAAGAAAAACAACGTTTTACATTATTGTATTCCTGTAATATTTACAAAGTTATAGAAATCACAACAAAATAACTTATTAATAAATAAATATTTATTTATCGACCACATGACGCAGTAGTTTCATATCATTCGTATTGGAACAATGTTTGTAAACATCTCATGTAACTAACTGTTTACAGAGACTGGATGACACATTGGTACCTCAACACTGACCGCAGCTAAGTTTTCTCATTTACAAACAATATATTGTCTACCAGCGAAAAAAATAGGCGACAATTAGAACATATTTTTTTCGCTACAGTATTTACAAATATTTAAAGTTCGCATTCCATCCGTAGAACGATTTACTCTAACAACACCACAGACCGCAATAATTAACGTATGTATGTATACAATGTATACAAACAAACACTTCGTATGTGTGCGTACAATGCGTCGCGACGTACGACACGCACACATACGTGTCTGCTTCACAAACCCTTCGACGAACAAATTAAAGTGTATTATAATGCACATGTTTTGTACTTGGTGTTAATAGCAGTTAGTATGAAAACATTCCAATTTCACTTTTGACAAATAATTAATTATGCAATTACTTCCAAGCATACCGAGATTGGGCCAAAAGAATAATTTTTCTCTCTCAAATTATATCTAGCGATGTAAATTGTGCTAAATTTTTTTTTTTAAATATGTTGGAGATCAAAATGTGATAATAACAATCGTTGCTCCGAACTTATTAACACTAATATAATTCTTATGCTGTTCTTATGTAATAAACTAACTTGATACTTCGTTTGGAGCAATTTGGCCATTACAGTACAGCGCATTGTAATGTAATTTCATGACAAAACCAATTCTTTTAGGTTGCTTCACCCAACTGTATTGACAATTAATTCCTTGATACTAAAAAACTCATAATTTATTAGTTAGCTATAATTGAATTATACAATATTTACATTCGGTGGACGACAGTACTTGAAGTATTGATCTGAACAAGTTATAACAATGTATATTGAACTTTATCACAGTAACAAGTTGGTGTATTGTAAATATAGTACTCTATGGTATTCTGTCTGATGTAGGACAAGTTAAGGAGAGAATGTAAGAGTGACATTATGTAGTACATTCGGGTACATATCGAGCTATGTAAAACCAGTTTATCAATGTCTCGCTTTATATTATCGTTCCCCACGTCCAAAGGTCAGTTTATACTGGCGATGCATAGCTCGATGTGACGATGCGTACAGACGGCGTGCGTTCAGTTGAAGTGGAACTTGAACTGGAAGGGCGAGCCGTGCTGGAAGTGGTGGAAGGGGTTGTGGAAGGGCCCGCCGCCGCCGCGCTGCGCCTCCGGGTCCAGCGGGTCGCTGCCCGCGTCGAACTGGGCGCGCTTCTCCGGGTCCGACAGCACCTGCGGCAGACCGATGGACTCGCACACGGACAACACAGTACCACGCACCGGAACATTCAGTTAACAATATCTGACAGCAAGCGCAAAGCTCCATAGAACTTACGTACAAAACTTATGAGATTCGACCTCAAAATATATGTAAAACATCTACATATACTGTCTATTCAGAGTAACGAATATAGTATTTGAATCATCTTCACTGCCTCATACCGCAACTTGACCGCGTTTATACAATAGGTGAACTTACCTCCTTAGCGGCAGCGATGTCAATAAACTTCTTCTCGGCGAGTTTCTTTTCGTCTCCCTGGAAGTTGTCCGGATGCCATTTCTGCGCCGCCTTGCGGTACGCCTTAATTATTTCCTGCTTACTTGCAGACCTGTATAGGCAATAGTCATTATTATTAACACTTCAAGAACATACTGAAAAACTGTGTTTAACTAACTGAATGATTTGTCTGTATTACCTCTTAACTCCTAATATCTTATAGTAATCTCTCTGTTCTGACATTTTTTGCAACTTTTGCGCGCGACTGAGTCCATCCTTCGCTCGTTGCAGACCTTCTTCTAACTCTAACGCTTCTTTGAATGACTGGATAGCTGTAAGTATAAACAAAATTCTGATCGTTAACAGTTCAAGACTTATACACTAGTGCTGATCATTTAGGAAGAAAGAAATAAATTAGTTGGATGAAACTGGTGAATGGAGGTGAGCAATAGTTAGGTGAGTGTCCAGTACGTACCGTCGTCGAACATGTCGAGTCCGAGCAGTGCGTCCCCGCGGTCGCACAGAGCGCGCGCGTCCCGCTGCAGCTCCAGCGCCGCGCCGCACGCCGACAGCGCCGCCGACCACTGCTCGTCCTGCGACACGGACCACGGGACCGTCAGACACACGGAATAATAACCTGCTCGACACGTCGAGTGACCTGACCACAGGGGTTAAGCATTGCCATACAACGTGGCAATGTTGCCAGCCTTCTGGGTAGTTTCCCCACTGACGTCGATGCGGACGAATTTTTTGATGCTTTATATAAATAGTTTTTTTTTTGTTTTTCTTTTAAATAATTATAATCTTAAATTGTATATATTTTATCATTAATTTAGTACTAGTTAGTTTTAATTTTTATTTAAGTTTTTTATTAGCAACAAACAATACATTCTCCCAGTGTAGAGCGCGATGAGTTACCTTAGTGAGACAGGTACAGAGCCACCTCCGTCCGTCGAAGACGACGAGCGTGACGTCGTGCTCGGCCCGCAGCAGTTTGTTGGCGCTGTCGATGCAGGTGTCGTAGTCCCGCGCCTCGCTAGCCTGCTCGCAGTCCAGCAGGAACTTGTCCACTTTCTTCACCTTCTTGTAGAACGGGAAACATTTCTTGTGCTCTGGATCTAGTTTTAGACATTCTCGAATTTCCTATGAAAAGATAATGTTAGTTAAAGTTAACTAATAGATTCATGCCGCTACATTAACTACTGAATTATTTTTAAAAGCTTATATATTTGATAATTAAAACTATAATGTCTAATTTCACTAAATGTTCACATTAAAATTAGGACATACAATCTAAAAAATATTAGAAACTTCATTGTACTAACTAAATGTAACACTTTTTGGTACAAGTTCGCGTTTGGTTTAACATAAAATATACAAAAAAGGCACCTACAAGTAACATCACAAAACACAATATTGACTCGAGTTTTCTGGTAATGGAAATTACCAATTAATGCATTTGTTTGAGTCATACAAAAGAAAATCTACACGTGTATTTGTTTTGTTTACTAAAACAAGTTAATGTTTAATTTAAACAGTGTACCTTTAGAGCATCGTTGACATGTCCGAGCTGGTACAACAAGGTGGCCAGTCTGTAGTAGCCATCTGTGGAGTCTTGTTGCAGTCTGTTCACTGACCTAATGTCTGACACTGCTGAGAACAGATCGTTCTGGAAACAAAATACATGATAGTTAGGTACAATTCACATTTAGATCGAGATTAACTTGTATGTCACAGAAACAATATTTTTGTTCCATAGTAGCTAACTGGTCATCTAGCCATTGTGTCAATCGTATATTACTGCTTAATTGGAGCTTTAGGTAGTTTATATTTGTAAGTGTAGTGGTGTGTGGCGTACCAGTCCGATGTAGCACTCGGCGCGGAGCTGTCGCAGCTGCGCGGCCCAGGGCGAGGTGTCGAGCAGCGTGGTGGCGAGGTCGACGGCGGCGCGGTAGTCCCCGCCGCGGTAGTACGCCTCCACCAGGCGCAGGTCCTCTATGAGCGCGTCGATCTTGTGGTACTGGCTGATTGCCTCCTCGTTGTACGGCTCCGCATACGTCTGTCCACAAATGACCAGTTTAACAAGAGCTCTAATATAAAAGGAATAGAATTACTTAAAGGAAAGTCGATATTCAAACGCAAATCAGATACGAATAGTTAGATTAAGTTCTTAATGAATATGTCATTTAATGAATATGCTTTTGTGTTGGGGCTCGCAACTGATCGAGAATCCTCGTAATACAATGGTGTAAATATAAGCCGTATGAACATTATCCAACTCGAGGGATTTTTCGTTGTAGTTTTATCAAAACAAAATGTTAATGTATTTTGTTGATTAATTACATATGAATGAACGAGAATTGATTGACAGTTATCAGGAACAATAGTGTTACAAACAGTAATTTAGTAATGTTTATCATTCCGTTAATATCCGTACGTTCAACGACGCGATAATGAGTGTACTTAGTTTAAATTACAGTAATTGATGACGTGTAAACACTTGCATACACATATTTAGTTTAATTAATTACCAATAAATATTAATTTCCTTCCTTCTTGTTAAAACCATACGAAATGACTATAAATTAAAAATGTATAATTATTAGCAAATTGTCCTACGTCAAAACGGTTAGTATCACTTTAATATTGCGCTTTTTAACTCTATGGCATATGGCCCAGATGCGGCCCAGTAGGGCTGATGCCGATAGAGCCGTGGAGGACTTAACGGGCTGCCGGGCTCCGGCTGAAGAGTCGAACACTCCCCATTACCTTACCCGGGCGGGAGAAGTCATTGGATAATTTCCCCCCCTCAAAAAAGGTACAAATCCATTTCACATTTCTCCTCTCACATGTCGAGGTCAAATTCTATTAGTGTAAGTGCTTAGTATGCAATACTAAATATTATTATGCGTTTTACAGTTAATAACGAATTACAATGGCGGCACGTGTTCGACACACCTACGTGTTCTATACTCAACGGTTTTGTGCGATATTTCACAAATAAGTACAAAACATTTTTTTAATCCTGTTAAGTAATTTCAACCTTGTTTCAAATAATTTGACGATTTTATTTATGAATAAAACGTTCGTTGCATAATATAAGCCCATAGTGCCGAGTCAGCGTAGAAGTAATATAACAAAAGGACTGAATGTCAAGGCCGTCACGTGCCAGTGAGCAGCTGATCAACTTGTACTACGTAAACAAAGAGAAAACAGTGCATTGACAATGATACAATGATCTACTAACACGTAACTAACTGTAGCACCTAACTAGGTATATGTATTTCAATGGCATATGCTGTGTATTGACGTCGTTTTAAAGACACCAGTAGATTGACCTACTACTCCAAAGTCTCAATCTTGCTGCAATTGATTTTCGATCTTATAACAAATCAATAAGGTTAATATTTCAAAATCTAGAAGAATTTGTGAGGGTGTTTGTTCCAGTGTAGATTCCAATATAATAAAACTTTGATTTTTATCTGTCTGTAAAAGTAATGATGTAATTGTAAAAATAAGACACGTACGTGTTGCGACATCCTTGGTTGATTTAGTGTTGCAACACGAATAATTGAGCAACAACATACATTCGCCACAGCCACCGCGCCGTAGTAGGAACACGTAATGTTGCAACAATCTTACCTATGTAATATTGTTTAACATTTTTAATTCAGCGTCAATGCAGCAGATTGATAACTTAGGTTGGTATTGGCTTTAGGTCGTGAAGTCAGTGAAGCGAGAGTTACGACTCTTGAAACGAATATACAATGTCGCAGTCAAATAAAAACTTACAACAATAGAATCTCTATTTACGAGGAAAATAAACTCGTGTTTTTCGTCAAGAAAGTGTTTTTTTTTTCAAATCTTTGTAATTATTACATTTGATAATGTTTACTTAATAATATAAGATTATTGTAAACAAGACTGATGAGACGTTCATTTAGACATAATCCAACAGTTAATTTGTATGCCAATAATGTAATATTATCAGTGATAAGTACACACCCAACACCACACAACAATTTCTTAGTCTGCATAATTTGTATTTACCCAAATACATGAATTTAAAATGAATCACAATGTAATACTAAGCAAACTATCCTAATAATGTACACAGAGATCATTATTTCAATAAGTGACAATGTAAGAGATTATTTTTGGCCTATGACCTGAGGGCTAAGTACCACTATGTTTAACATTTAAAGTAAAATGAACACATTCGGCGCTCTGATTGGCCGGCTACAATGAAACAACCAATCAGAGCTCTGTATTTTGAACAACATTAGATATGGTACTCACAACTTGTAAGAAGTCTTCTTTGGCATCTACATACTGGGCCAGCTTCAGGTACACATTAGCTCGGTGCAGGCGCGCTGCTGTGAAGTCAGACTTAATCTCCAATACCTGGGAACAAATAAGTATACATAGATTTTGCATATTGTTTACATTTAATAATATAATGTTCCACTAATATTATTACATTAGTAGTAAAGTTACAATAATATTGACATGACAGACTCCAACTGAATTTTAATTTTAATGTTAACACAAACTGAGAAATTGATAGTTATAATGTATCTGTGAAATGCAATTAAACATTGGAACAGATCCTGGGGTCCAGAAAATTATTAACATTTTTTAATATTGTCTGTATTCTGTATAAGCATCTGTATACAAGTACAACTGTCAAAAAGTGGGTGTATTATACCTATGATGGCCATATACATTTAAAAAATTACTCTCATGAATAATTCAACACAATTTTACAGCTTTACTTGTATAAATTAAGTGAAAATATAAAGTAGATCTACAGTGCAAACCATCTGGCAAAAGTGGATCAATATGTACAGTATATGTAGTGCAGTTTAATCCCAAATGATGAGTAGTTATTACCTTAGTAAAGTCTTGTAGGGCAAACTTAGCTTTCCCAAGAGCATAGTACACTGTGCCACGCTTGAAGTATGTGAGGTAGTTGTGTGGGTCCCCCTCTGCAAATATATACAGATTATTACAGAATGTCATAGATAATAAACATTGGATTAGGTGCCAAAATGAGTCTTTATGTGTGAATGATACGGACAGGTGTAAGCTATTTGTTATGGCATTGGAATTATTTGATTTATTATTTGCTGAAATTAGGTATTGAATTGTTACGAGTTATAAACATTTAACTATGAAGTTAATTAATTCAGTGGTCTCATCAAATAATAAAATTAAAATATATTTGGCCTACATTGCAGTATTTCTAAGCACTTTTATTATAAGTATTATTTTGTTTATCTGATAACTTATCAAACAATAAAGACAATCAATATATCAGAGACAGAGTTGCTTCAAGTAGAATTCTCTTGATAGTCCATTTTGAGATCACAAAATTCAAACAGCTACATTAGGTAGCCACTAGCCAGACTATTTGACCTGATGCCCTGCAGTGTTGATGTGTTTAAGAGGTTGTTAGTAACTAGGTGTATTAGCTTTTTTGATTAAGTACTAAGCTTTAAATCACATCCGTATCATGCGTTGTAAATATGATAGCACAAAATTAGTACACGTATGTACTTGTAGACAACTAGGCACTCACCCACGGCGGCGTGATAGTGTGTCAGAGCATCTGATAGCTGACCCCGAGCCAAGAAGTCGCGGCCCAGCTCCAGGTGTTTATTAACCTCCGCCGGCGTAGCACACTCTGAAACTACACACCAACAACTCAAAACACGTACTTTCATACAAAAAACAACAAGAAAATATGGTAATATGCAGGTTAAATTAGTAAAAATACACACATTCTAACATTACTTCTAGCACTAATAAGACAAGGCATGGCGTGATTTTGTTCCAGTTAATATTCACTAAGTAGTCCATTATTAAACTATAATTTAATTACAGCAGTCTTTATAGCTAATTCACAACAATTCAATTTCAATACAAAATAATTATTTGACAAGAGCCACAATCCATCTTTCGTTCGTCTCTTTTCGTGGTTTCTTCTGATTGGTCCAAATCAGACAACAGGAATTCCACAGATCTAAATAAAATATCACATACGTCAGTGCAGCAGTCGTTTTCCGCAAATAATTATTTATATATTTATGATTAAATTAATCAGAATGAGTCTAACGCTACATCAATAATAATTATTCATTTTATTTTATATGTTTACCAAATATTTGTGACACAAAAAAGTTTTTGTTATTTCTGAACGAAATAATGTGTGGCCGTGTTGCAATTACTAAAATTTTCTACTAATAGATAAGTTAATCGAAATGCTATTTATGCATAATAATTATATTATAAAAAAATAACAAAATTTAAAGTAACCAAATATTATTCTCATTACTTCTACACCTCTGTAAAAGAAATTCTAAATTTTTGAGCGAGAAAACGAAGACTAAGAAAATTACTATTATTTTTAATAGGAGCAGTTTAAGGTTCTTATCTGGCAACACCTCGACCCCTTCTTTCATTTCCAAAGGAAAATAACAAACGGTTAGTGCGATAAAATTTGTTGAAAATTTCTAATTATATACGGTATGGATGGAAAATAAGTGATAAACTAAATGAAACAATAATGTTTGCATCCTCTGGAGCATTAAAAAATGTGTGATTAATTTTATACACGGAGATAGATTCAGATTAGTGTCTGTTGTCAACATAACCTATCTTGAGGAGTTCGTGGTTGAAGCAAGTATATCGTTTTTATATCTTGGTAACTTGATGTTTTAGGAATGGCTGACGCAGCGCCATCAACAGCGCCCAAGGCGAAAGTGCCTAAAACTAAGGCACCCAAAGAGAAGGCCGCCAAGGCTGCCCCTGCGGCACCTGCAGAGCCTCCAAAGGCGGTGCGCAAAGTATCATCGAAGCCCCGTCACGGCAGGCTGTACGCCAAGGCCGTATTCACTGGCTACAAACGTGGTCTGCGCAACCAGCACGAGAACACAGCTCTCCTGAAGGTATGTCATACACACTTTGAAGGTTTCTACTTACAATAAATGTGGTATTCCTAATAACCTATGAATGGTATCTCTCTATGAGTTATATGCTGGTTTCTCTGAAAATGGTGATGAGACATTAACCAGATCCTGCTGGAAATTTAAGTACATAGTGATTTTTATGCAATGCTTTCTTTACCTCAGTGTGTAGTTTCTTTACCTGTGCCCCTGTGGAGAGTTATGTCTGCAATGAGGATTTAATTAAACTAAAACAGTATTCAGTTTCACTGCAATGTTTTGTTTGAACATAACCTCTAAAATGTTTTTAATCTGCTGATTCGAACAATAATGTCATGTAATTTTCAAACATGTCATAACTTATGATAGGTAGTAATATACTCTTATGATTATTTTATGAGTATTTGGCTCTTGTGATACAAGATACCTAGTTCAAGGGCCAGGGCTTCACTGTAATTCTCTGAAGAGCCAATAAATGTTTTTATTATTATGTCAATTGCTTAGTAATTTCAATATCATTCTGTTACATTAAAGAATTTACAAACATTATGATTTGTACAATAATGTTTAGGATAATTAAACATTTTAACAATAACTAAGAAATATATTATTGAATAGAGCTATCAGTTAGTTGCAATACTCCAATCGATTTTCCTAATTTTAAATGATGCCTAGACATTTGAAACCTGAATCTTTATGTGGACAAAGTGTTACTGATACATGCTTAGAAGACACTTCTTATTACCTACAACTAGAATGTGAATTTTAATTGGAATATTTATTGTAATTTCAGATTGAGGGAGCAAGGAGCCGTGATGACGCAGACTTCTACGCTGGCAAGCGTTGCGTATATGTATACCGCGCCAAGAAGAGGACGCCCATCGCTGGTGGACCCCGTGGCAAAAAGACCAAGCTGCGCGCCATCTGGGGCAAGGTGACCAGACCACACGGCAACTCCGGTGGAGTTCGTGCTCGCTTCCGCTCCAACCTGCCTGCGCAGGCTATGGGACACAGGATACGCATTGTCAGTATATTAATAAAAAAATTAACTAATTACTATCAGTTTTAGAACTGCATAAGATTCAATTATTCCAGTTTGAAGTATAGAGAATCAATGTTATAAATCTTGCTTACTAAAGCTATTTCAATGATGTCTAGACATTTGAAACCTGAACTTAATGTGGACAAAAGTTTACTGAGAACATTTATTCCACATGTTTGACACCTTATTGTTATTAGCATCATAATTAACATTTATCTTTGTTTCAGATGTTGTATCCCTCCAGGATCTAAGACTCTTCCTGTTAAGTAATATAAGCATAAAATAAAACCCAAAAAAACTTACGCTCTGCCTTTTATTTACATATTCTGACACTAAATGTTGGCTTATAAGAATCTAGGAACAGGAATTATGGCTGGTTATATATCTAGCTGGTTATTTTTTGCAGAAGTATTATTTTTTTATTCAAAGTATTACTGAGTTTTTATAAATCTCAGTAGTAGCACGGAGTCTGTAAATTTGCCCGGTATATGACACTAGGCTCACATCCTATTACATGGGACACATAACATAAATAGTGAAAAGTGGGTATTACATTGTAGTGGCATTAAGTGCCGAAATGTGCACCTCTGCCTACCCCTTCGGGGATAAAAAAGCGTGATGTTATGTTAATGTATTGTTTTTTTTTTATATATCATGGGCCGACTTTTGATCTCTGTCTCGCCTGGTAGTAAGCGATGATGCGGTCTACGATGGAGCATGTGGTCCTATAAGCAACCTATTCACTCGGTCCTTAAAGACACCCAGGTTATACCTTCAGGAAATACACTCTAGTAAAGAATTCCACTCCTTAGCAGTACGCACAAGGAAGCTTGATGCGAACCGCTTCGTGCGTGTGGGACAGGTATTCTTTAGGCTTACTATCTAATATATTATTAACATTAACAATTAACTGTACAAGATTTTGTAATTTGGTGTTTGTATGACCTTATAATTAAGTTTAGCACATGAATCACATTTTGATAATTCACATACCTACAGCTATTTTTTTCTAACACAAAACTTATTCTTGAAGACAGCCAGTTGTTTGTATCAAAACTTTCGTGACACACTGAATAAATTATTATATTTTAAAACTATCTACTCTAACACTAGCATTTTCGTTTTCTTTATTAAAAACTTCTCTTGTAAGGATTTTCTCCTGCGTTATGCATGGGTTATACAAACGTTCAATTTATTAATGTACCTACACATCAATTCAATTCTTCATTTATTAATAATAGGTATTCAATTCTTGACGTTCGATGTGAACAGACGTGCATACTAGAAATATTAAATCAAAGCAATAATAGTGACCTACATTATTATTCTGCTTATTGTGATACCTCGTTATAAATAATGGAAATACATACTTAGTTGTTTCAAATATGGATTTAAACCCGAGTAAGCTGGCTTCCTGTACTTCACCATTAAAGAGCAGCCGTAATTCTGACTTCTCGATAGAAGCTGTGTCGACGCCCGATATTCAAAATTGGATGTCAAACATTGAAGACCTGTTACATGAAGTTTGCACTATTGCCACAGAGGGCAAACTTAATTCGGAACAAAAACTTAAGATATCAAATCTGAGCCGAAAAATAGGTGCTGCTGATGTCTCGCATATGACTGTCTTATATCAAGCTCTGAAGCAGCAAGCCCGTATAGCCGTTAACATTATAGATGAGATGAGAGAAAAGCAGGACCTTGTGGAACAAATTTCGGACATCAAGCAAACTATCAAGGATTCAACATCAACGGGAAATGTTTCATTTGCTGACATGGTAAAGAAGGGAACTGACTTCGTGCGACCTACAAAACTGACATCTATTGCAATTTACCCAGCAAATAAGTCAAAAACTAGCGATGAAACAAAATCTCTCGTCCAAAAAATCATACGCCCTGACCAATTGCAGCTACATGTACGTGGTGTTCGTAAAATCCATAATGGAGGCGTTAAAATCAGCACTGAGTCCAAAGAAGATGCTAAGAAAGTTAAAGAAGCACTAGCCCTATCATCATCTGGACTTATTGCCGATGAAGCAAAGAAACGAAAACCAAGAATCACTGTAGTAGGAGTGCCGTCTACTTTATCCGATGCTGATGTCCTCAGGTGCATATTCGAGCAAAACATAGCTGGTAAGGTCCAAGAGTTGACTATAGTCTTTCCTAACGACTGTGAAGTATTTTTCTAGACTTGAGCTCTGCTTTTGACACTATTGACTATTGACATCGAAGTTAAGTCACAAATCTGGCAGAAAAGATGCGCCGACTTGTAATTAGGTACATTATTGAAGTTCCGGCCAACATCCGTAAAGTGCTTATATCGCAAGAGATTATGTTTTTATGGAGGCTATATAATATTATATAATACCTAGTACACAATACAGGGAGGTGGCGATGGCGCCGCTATTTATTATTTTGCCGTGCTGCTGCCGTTTAAATGTTCAGGATTATAAGAAATTCAGAATTAAGTTTAAATACTGAAAGGGGACAGATTTCATCCAACGTAGATGTAGCCCAGGAGTTTGAACATTTTTTTGCCAACATTCCTATCAAAACAACCAAAGATTTAGAGTCATCAGCAACACTCTCTGTAACTTTGCTTAAGAATCATATACAATCGTGTCAGCACGACTTTAGTTTTCGATATACGAATCCTCTAGAAATAATAAAAGTTTTTAAAGAGATCAAGATCAAATCAACTGAAGATCTATGGGGACTATCGGTAAAAGTTTGCAAATCACTTATTCAAACTATAGCGCCATACTTGGCTGTGATTTTCAATAAAAGTATAGATGACGGTGTTTTCCCTGACCTAATGAAATATAGTAAAGTTGTCCCATTATTTAAAAGTGGTGACACTAAAGAACCAAACAATTATAGGCCAGTATCTGTTTTGCCGGTTCTCAGCAAAGTATTTGAAAAGTTAATGCTGTCTCGGATGCTTCATCATTTTAATAAACATTCTATCTTTCACCAACAACAATACGGTTTTACTAAAGGTCGTTGT